TATCCATTTATCAATGCACGTAACCTTTTATTCTTTTTTCCTCAGTCACCATCATCAAATCACACACAAACATGCAAACCAGTAATTTATGCCAAACAAGACAACACACAACATCGGGTTCTCAGTCATTCAACCCATAATCAATAAAACAGTGATATATGCACACGAAACTATGAAATGAAAACACCAGACATCATACTGCATTTAGAACTGTGAAATAGAACAAACAACAACTAACCGACAAATACACCAGACTCGGGCTCCATTAGCGACCTTAAACAATTTCACACATCTATTGATTCATGAAATACCGTTTTATCATTTATTGAACTTTAATACCATGATAGAAAATAGGGTGAGGGGTCCTTACCTGTTTTCGAGACCCGAAATAGGCTTTTCCGAGCGCCTGTGGGTTATTCCTAAATTTCCTAAATTTTTTTTGAAAAACTGAAACACGCTACCCGGTACCTGCACGTGTCCCAAAAATCTCAGAATCAGACCTGGGCCCCTTTCGGCCAATATCGCAATTCCGGCACGGCAGCTCCGCCGTGCTCCGGCGACGGCGATTCGCCTCGGGTTGGCCGTTTTTGGCCGAATTCGGCCACACTTGCATCCATCCCTGCGATAAAACAACCTTAGGGCCCTCGGGGGGCCAAAAAATTACGAAAAACCGAAGCTTACCAGCGGCGGTGCTCTCGGGTGCGGCGGCTCTCCGGCGTGGTTCGTGTTTTGGTGATTTGGCTCCGATCAACCTGTAGAAAAAAGAATGGTGATCACGGTGATATAAAAATTGTATCAAACGGAGGCCGGGAAGGGCCTCATCGGAGGCAAAAATCGAGGAGGGGCGCGGTGGCGCCGTTGGGTTTTGGCCGAGAGTTTGGCTCTGATTTGACCACAGGGGAACTCAGCATTGAAAAACGAGCCGGGGTATGAAATTTACCTCGATCGGCGGTCGGAAAACTCCCCGGTGCGGCGGCGGGTGGCGGCGGCTGGCTCCTCCAGCGTCTGGTTCGTCTTCTCCGGCGAGGGCTGGCGGCTAGGGTTTTGTGGTCAGGTGTGGGGGG